TATGTAAGTCAGACATTAAGTACAGTTAACGTTAGGTCAGTTAATCAAATGTTTGTCTTAGTATATAGTCTGTAGTGTACCTTACTACTCATTAGAAAATATTAAAGAAACACTTCCAGATACACTAAAACCTCTTTAATGTAATAATACAATAAAATGGTAATAATGTTTTGATGCATGTTACAAATTAGTACCCATTTCTTATTACCAACCGGTATATGTGCCTTGAATTTTCAATATAATAGGTTTATGGGGGCTGGGACCACGGACTAATATGCAGTTGGACGTTGCCCCAGAGGGCGTTGTGCAGACCAGAATGGAGTCTCTGGCTTCCTGCAGATCTTACTACCAGGCCCAAACCAATACTCTTGCTGCTCGTGGAAACGCAGTGCAAGCAGAGGGAGGAATGTGTGGATTCTGGTTGATGTTCTGAAAATGTAGGCCTGGCGGTGCTCTGCCTCTCAACGGAGGACCTCACAGGCCGGACGCCAGAGAAGGGCTTCCAGTAGGAAGAGCCTTTGGGCTGAGACCTCAAAGAGGAGCAGGAGGTCACAGGTCCATCGGGGCAAAAACGCCCAGTCCATTAGCACATCCTGCCAACCCTGGCTTCTGAACACATATCCTGAGTCCCTTCACCTCCACTGCCGCGCTCACCCAGGTCCACCATCCACTGTTTCCGCCACGGCCACCACAGCAGCTTCCTAACCAGCGACTGCTTTCACTTTTGCCACTTTGGTCTTTTGGTCTTTTCACCACACAGCAGCCAGAAAGGTCCTTTCATGATGGATCATTTCACTCCCTTGCTCCAAACCCTCCAGTGCTTTCCCGTCACACATGATGTTAAACCCCAATTCCCCCTACAGTGTCTGTTCCTGGCTGCCTCTCCGTCCTCAACTTCTGTCACACTTTCCTTTGCTCACTCCGCTCTAGCCACACTGGCTTCCTGACTAGGCCTCTAGCAACCTTGCACACTCCTTCCCCAACCCTTCTGCACTTGCTCCTTCTGCATCCGCCTGCTCTTCCCCCACTTACCTGTGGGGCTTCCTTCACTCACCTGAAGACTCTGCTCCAGTGTCACCTTGGTAGAGAGGGCTTGTTTGAGCAGCTCTTCTAAAGTAGTGCCCCCTTCTTTCTCCTTCTCCAATCAGAAAACAAATGTCCTCATTTCCATAGCACTTCTTACATCTGACGTTGGGTATTGATTTATCTCCTTGTTTGTTTTTTGGAGCTCTGGTGGCGCAGTACCTAAGGCATTTGACTCTAACCAGAAGGCTGGCAGTTCAAACCCACCAGCCACTCCTCAGAAGGAAGACTAAGCAATCTACTTCCTTTGTGATACCACCTCAGAAACCCAAGGAGGAGTCACTATGAGTTGGAGACGACTCAACGGCAGTGAGTTTGGTTTTTTGGTTTTAGCTTTTCTCCATTAAACTGTAAGCTCCAGAAGAGCAAGAATTTTATTTTATTCAGTCCTGGTCCCAAGTACTCAAATAGTGCCTGGCACATAGTAGGTGCTCACTAAGTATTTGTTTTGTTAAATAAATTGAATGAATGAATGAATGTGTCAAATAATCAAAACGGAAGGGGACAGGTGTTCTAGTAGAGGGGACTGTGTCACAGTGACCACTATAATGTGGGGTTTCAGAAATGAAAGACCTGGAGGACAGACAGGGAGGGGTAGTGATAGAGAGACGAGGTGCAAAGACCAGACCATCGGAGCCTGGTACACAGTGTTAGAAGATTTTGACCTTTGTTCTGAGGGCAATGAGAAGGCATTAAAGGGTTCAGGTAAGTTGAAAATTGTGTTTGGTTTATAAAAAAACAGAACAAAACCCATTACCATCCAGTTGATTCTGACTCATGGAGACTCCATGTGGTACAGAGTAGAAGAGCTCCGTAGGGTTTTCTTGACTGGAATCTTTAGGGAAGCAAATTGCCAGCCCTTTCTTCAGCAGCACCACTAGGTGAGTTCTGCCAGCCTTTTGGTTAGTAGCTGAGAGCAAACCATTTCTGCTACCCAGGGAACATGCCCACTGACTACTCAATGGTAAATTGATAATAAGGGGGCAAGACTGGAGATGGGGACTACTGAGGCAGCTGTCAAGGTCATCCACCAAACAGCAGTGGTTTCCATTAAGGTGCTTGTTGGAGAAGATGGAAAGAGGTCATTTAGATGTAAAATTGGCAGAAAGTACTTCCAATCCCTGTGATCCAAGGCTATGTTAACTAGACCCAAAAAGATATAAACTCAGACCTAGGATCTCTGTTGACACAGATTTAAGTAAGGCATCCTTTATTCTCTCATGTACACATTCCACAAACACTAATGGAGCTTGCCACATGCCAGGCCTGTGCCGAGAGATGCAGAGAATAAAAAGATGAATACTCTGTGCTAGGCCACCCCAAAAAAGTAACATTCTAATAGAAGCAGTGCCCTTTTGGCCTTTTTATATTCCCTGCCTTGCCAGTGCTTGCCCTCTGGTCCTGTTTCCACTCGTCTCCTTCACATTGTGTATGTTATTTTATGCCCTGTGCTTACCCCAAAGTCCAGCCAAAACTAGCTACGCAGTACATTTTGGGATGATCGTTGAGTTTTCGTACTTGACTGTTAGGCTAGTACTCATAAGAGACCCAGTTTCCCAACCTGAGCTTTCTCTCAAAGTTTGCTGAGCTCATCATATCAAAATCATTTCAACTGTCCAAGGCAAATAGGGAAGAAAAACCCTTCCCTACCTAACTCACAAGGCTATTATGAGCATTAAAGTAACTTCAGGGGCTTTGCCAACATGAAAGGCTGTTGGATGGTAAGCCCCTGCATTTGCACTGCCCTCTACTATTGTGTTTGCTTTATTTTTTGTTCACGTAACAAGTGTTTATTGAGCTTTTACTATGTCCTGGGATGGGTGCTAGAGATGCAAACATGAACAAGACATGGTCTCTGCCCTCGTGGAACTTCCCTAATGTGTACTGGTTCTTGTTGTTATTTGTCGTCAAGTCAGCCCTGTCTCATAGCGACCCCTCCTTGGGTTTCCGAGGCGGTATCTCTACAGAAGTAGATTGCCCAACCTTCCTTCCAAGGAGTGGCTGGTGGATTTGAACCACCAGCCTTCTGGTTAGCAGTCAAGTGCCTTAGGCAGTATGCTACCAGAGCTCCCAATGTGTACTGGTAGGTCAAGGTAAAAAGAATGTGGAAATTACAAACTCCTCAGCCCCGTTCCTGCACAGGACACTGGCACAAGAGGAATTACCAGCATTTCCCCTTCCCACCATCTGAGTGCTCTTCACTGCCTGTGACCCCATATGGCAGGCCTTCCTCTGCATACACCCAGAAGATGTTTTATCTAAATAGTCATTTGAAAGACTGGATCAGTTCTGTAAGTAATGGAGCAGCAGCTTTTCCTTAAATACTCCTTTGTTGTTGTTGTCCTTACTATCCTCTATTATGGGGGCTCTGGTGGCATAGTGCCTAAGGCACTTGACTTATAACCAGAAGGCTGGTGGTTCAAACCCACCAGCCACTCCTCAGAAGGAAGATGGGGCAATCTAGTTCCGTAGTGATACTGCCTCAGAAACCCAAGGAGGGGTCGCTAGGGGTCAGATCCAACTCCACGGCACATAACAACAATCCTCTATTATTAGGAATTCCTGGTGGCACAGTAGTTAAAACTCTCAGCTGCTAACCAAAAGGTTGGTGGTTTGAACCCACCAGTTGCTCCATGGGAAAATGATGTGACAATCTGCTTCGGTAAAGATTTACAGCTTTGGAAATCTTATGGGGCGGTTCTTCTCTGTCTTATGGGGTCTCTTAAGCGTCAGAATCAACTGGATAGCAGTCGGTTTGATTCCGTATTATTAAGGCCTGGTGGGGCAATGGGCTGGTCAGCATTTCAAACCCACCCAGCAGCTCCTGGAGAAAGACGTGGCGACCTGTGCCTGTAAATATTACGGCCTAGAAAACTCCATGGGCAGTTCTGCTCTGCCACGTGGGTTCAGCCCCACCCCCACCCCTTATTTTTGGATTCTGGTCGCCAAGGTGTGTGGGTAAGAAATTCAGTCTGTATCCTGCATTGTAAGAGTCGGCAGAGGCCCTGGAAACCCTGGTACTCATTATGATTTTGTTGCAGAGTGACGTAGCCTCCAGGGTCCTAGATTTCTCCCGGGAAGGGATAGTTACACTAGTCCCTAAAGTTATGTGATCCGTGAACGGCTTTCCACCCTCCTCTTTTCTGTTCCAAGCCCTGGGGCAAGCCACCAAGATGTAGTTCTCCAGCTTCCATGAAGCTGAGTTAGTGGAGAAAGACACAGGCTAGGGTACAGAGAGGGAGCTCTGGTAGCATAGTGCCTAAGGTCTTTGACTGCTAACCAGAAGGCTGGCGGTTCAAACCCACCAACCACTCCTCGGAAGGAAAGTTGGGCAATCTACTTCCGTAGTGATACTGCCTTGGAAACCCAAGGAGGGGTCGCTATGAGTTGGTCTGACTCCACGGCAATGGTTGCCTTGTTGCCTACTAGCCGGGAGGAGTTCTGGTGGTGTAGTGCCTAAAGGCATTTGACTGCTAACCAAAAGGCTGGTGGTTCAAACACACTAGCCACCCCTCAGGGGAGCTCTGGTAGCGTATTGCCTAAGACACTGACTGCTAACCAGAAGGCTGGTGGTTCAAACCCACCAGCCACTTCTCGGAAGGAAGATGGGGCAATCTACTTCCGTAGTGACACTGCCTCGGAAACCCAAGGAGGGGTCGCTATGAGTCGGGTCCGATTCAATGGCACATAACAACAACAACAACAACAAAGCCACCCCTCAGAAGGAAGGTTGGGCAATCTAGAGGGGCCTCTATGAGTTGGATCCTACTCCATAGCAGAGAGTTTTTCTACTAGGCCGGGTGCCCAAGGCACTGCGGGGGGCGGGGCGCGGTCAGGTCTGCTTAGGGCGGGTTCGGCGTCAGCCACCAGAGGTGATTGGCTCTGCGTAAGGGCGGGGCCCCGTATCCGCTGAGCAACGGAAGTAGCTCTCCGCCCTTGTCGGTGAGCTATGGAGACTGTGGCGCTGTAGTGTCTGTGGTTGAGGATTGCTGGGGCAGCGGCCATGGAGGCCGTGCTGAACGAGCTGGTGTCTGTGGATGACCTGCTGGTGAGGCCTGGCCCCCAAAAGAGGGAAAGGGAAGATTCAGGCAGGCGGGTCCTAAGGAGAGTAGGCTAGGGACCAAGCCCTTTTCCCAAATCAGCTTTGCTCAGGGAAGCCGAACTACAGCTCCCGGTATCCTCTGCAGCGACCGGGTGTTGCCCAAAGGTTCCACTTCGCCCTGGAGGCTACTGGGAGTTGTAGTTTCTTAAGCCACCACACCTCAGACTAAGGGCGTGTAGTCCGACGGGGTCTGGGTTCCTGCGGGTTTTGGCAGCACAGGGTGCAGATACCTGTTCTTGAGTGCTCCTCCAATGACAGAGAAAATAAAATTTCACGTATTGCTGAGTCTGGCGCGGTGTTGTGTGTTGCATACGATAATATCTCAGTCTTTATTCCTCCAGTAGGTAGGCACTGTTTTTATTCCCATTTTACAGATAAGAAAAGGTCTGGCAGGGCGGAGCAGGATAAGGAAAGCAGTCCCAGGCGAGGGAGCGCGTGAACTGTTGTTGACCAGTTATGACAGCGTGTTTATTGTTCGCCCACACAGGGTCAGCTGCTCCGAACGCGGTGTCTGGGGCTGCCACTAGGTGGCATCTCCGCTCGGTACCATGAGGGGGAGGGGCAAAGGGGACTGCTGTCCGGCTGTCTAAAGAGACAGGTCGACTCTAAAGAGACAAGTCAACGGCTGAATGCCTGAGTCCCAGGGATGGAGATAACAGAACGTGGTTGCCAGGTCCCAGGGCTCCTGAGGGAAGTATGGCAGAGACTGGGGCAGATGGAGTGTCGCTGGGATTTGGAGCCCGGGGCCAGGTGGAGAATGGTCACTCCCTTCATTTTGAAATGAGTCCTCCTCTCCTCTCCTATAACAGAAGTTTGAAAAGAAATTTCAGTCTGAGGCGGCAGCAGGCTCAGTGTCCAAGAGCACGCAGTTTGAATACGCCTGGTGTCTGGTGCGAAGCAAGTACAACGATGACATCCGTAAAGGCATTGCGCTGCTGGAGGGTAAGGAACTAAGGTTACACGGCACTTCCCCTTCCTCACTGCCATTGGGGTCTGTCTCTCCCTATTACCACTGGCCCCATTCACTCCTCTGTCCCAAAGGCTGGGATTCTTTTCCAGCATGGGACCTGCAAAAAAGGGCGTGGGGGCAGAGTCTTTTCCTGACCTCCTCTTACTTTATGAGGGGTACAGAGAATCCCCATCAGTAGCCCAAGGCTGATCCCTATGAGGTCAGACATGTTGCCACTCTTCGACCGTTTTACCAATTCTGATGCCAACCATCCCTCCTACGACACTCTCTGCTTCTCTCCTAGGTTGGATAATTCATTGCAGTGGCCACACACAACTCATAGACAATACTCACAATTTTGGGGTATTTAGGGAAGCAACAGGTTACAGTTCAGGTTCAGGAACATTCAGGATAGAACTCTTCGATCAAGACAGCCTCTCCTTGGCCATGCCCATAGGCATGCCTCTCTTTGGCCCTTGGCCTCTAGGCTTGGCCTCTGCCTCCCATCATCCTTGTCTCTGCCATGCACGGACAAGTGTTACAAAGCTCTTCAAGCTGTCAGTGCCCAGAGAGGCACCCCACTCTGCCAGCAGACTTCCTGCCTGAAGGCACTCTGCTTTCTTGTTCCATGGGCCAGGAAGCCCCCAACTCTGTCTTATGCCAGTCTTTTGGTTCCCCATGTTAGGGTTCCATATACCTGATTTCTGTGGTCCCATCCCCATAAGGGTGTTGTGCATCTTATTTACATTATTAGCAAACTATCCAGTCCCCTTGGTAGGCCCCAAGCATCTCACATTTGCATAGTCAGGCCCAGTCATGTGGTGGGAGTCACAAAGACCATGGCTAGAAGAGCCGTGTTAAGTAATTCACTGCATGACAGGACCGTATAGTGCATTCCCCTCACAGTTGTTTTCCAATCCATTCACTGCAGCAAAGGGCTGTACTTCACCTAACTCCTCCCAGTGTACTTTTGGTTAATCGCTACTCCCATTGTTACTGGGTCAAGCAGAATCATAGGACTTCCATGATCTGGTAGTCTAACCACAGTAGTAGTCCGACTTCTCTCAAAAGATGACTTGTCTGAGGCACACAGCTGATTCCTTAATACCTGCATTGGGACTTGACGCACTTATCCTCTGAGTCCTGGCCCTGTGCTCTTTGTCCTCTACTGTTGCATATTTAGTAGCTATTGTTAATGTATTCATTGAAGAAAGTACCGAAGACTATCCTAAAATAAATTGTGGGCAAATGGTGCTTTTCTGACTGGAATATTTCCCATTGATTTCAAACGGATCATCTTTTGTCAGAGGCCATAATATTTGACCTTAACATCTCTCTGTGTCCCTTTTCTCCTGGTAATCGTTTGTAAGCAAACAGTGTACTAGCAAAGAAGTATATGGTCAATCTATAAAAATCATCTTTTTTAATTTTTATTGTGATTTGGGTGAAAGTTTACAGAGCAAATTCGTTTTTCATATAATAGTTCATCCACATTTTTTTCATGACATTGACTGCAATTTCCCATAATGTAACAGCTCTCTTCCTATCTTCCTGCCTCTTCCCTGTGTCCTTTCCTCCCATGCACTCCCACCCCCCAGCTGTCTCCATGTGCAAACACTGCCCTTCTGTTCTAGGATGGATAGATCACTCCCAGGAGGTGGTGGGGCAGCCTCGGTTCATGCTGCCCTGGGGCTCTCTGACTGGGAAGCTGAGAGTGACCAGAGCTGAAATCAAGACTCAGGCAATGGCCTTCCCAGGACCATGTAGGGATTCTCTGATGAAAATCTTCACCCCATATGGCTGGCTGAAAATAAGAATCTTTTTTAACATAAATCATTTCATCCTACATTTACCTGCCTTACCATTTCAGATTTTCTCACTTAACAGCAGAGCACAGCTATAAAAGAACTGTCGAAGACATTGTCAGTCTAGCTGAGGAGATAGTACAGGTACTCACGAAGGTTTAAAACCTGTACAAAACCAGTTGACAACAAGTTGCAGATTCTAGTGTGGGAAGTGCCAATGAATACATAAACCCCTGGGAAGTCCCTGAATTAAGAACCCATCAGAGTAGGGTGGAGTCGTTCAGGGAAGGCTAATTGAAGGTGAGCTTTGAGTGGATTTTCAAAAGAGGGAGGGAGCATGAAGCCCTGAAACTGCTGCCCTGAGATAATCTTTACACCTTAAACCAGAATACCCCATGGAGTCTTTGTGAAACCAAACACTGGTTGATCTTCACTAGTAAAGATCGCCTGCCTTGGGCACTGTGCTCTTTCAAGATCTAACTACGTGGGATGAAATTGACAACAGCAACTGGAAGGATTAGATAGGCGTTTCAGGGACAGTGATTGTGTAGTAACAGGAGTAACAACTCGGAAAGGGAGAATGACAATGGTTACACAACTCAAAGACTGTCATTGAATTGTACATGTAGAAATTGTTGACTTGGTGTATGTACCGCTGTGTGTATCCTTAGAGCAAAAGTAAATTATGTTTTCTAAAAAGCAAGGGGAAGTACATTTTTAGTGCTACTCTGGACAGCAAACAGCTGAACTTAAAACACACAGTGGCTGCTAGAATTGAGGAGAGATGCCTTTTGGCCTCTCTAGTGCCTTGATTTCCTTGGAAATTCATTCACTTGGATGAACCAGGTGTAAAATGGGTCCCGGAGATGTCGATCACAGTGGTGTATGGGGCAGCCTGGGTTCATGCTGCCCTGGGGCTCTGACTAGGAAGCTGAGAGTGACAAAGCTGAAATAGAAACTCAGGCGATGACCTTCCCAGCACCATACAGGGATTCAGAGGGTAGAAGGAGTCTCTAGGACAGAAGTACTGGGGAAAGGGAGAAACCGTTCTCACCATCTTTCCCTTCCTCCGTCTCAGAGCTGCTGCCCAAAGGGAGCAAAGAGGAGCAGAGGGATTATGTCTTCTACCTGGCTGTGGGCAACTACCGGCTCAAGGTGAGCAGGTCTCTGAACCAGTTCCTCCCAGTTCATTCATGGCCGACGAAGAAAAACCAGAACAGCCCCGAACTTGTGAAATGTGGGTGACGGGAATAACCAGAACAGGACAAATAACAGGTTGACACCTGCTAGAAACTTCATCTCACTCCAGGAAAACAGGGGCAGTGTGTGTGTTGCATGGCAACCAGATCTCTTGACCAGCAGAGTTGAAAGTAGAGGTGCCCTGCTCAAAGATGACAGCCTACCATACCACTTTAAATGTGTGTCACTCCCTGCAGTCCTGGCAGTAATCCAGGCTCCAGGAGGGGTTCACTACGCTTCCTCCAAGTCTCCCACTCCAGGGCTTTGACCCATAGTTTTTCCCATTCCGGTTATCTTTCTGGTGCACCCACATTTTACAGATTTGGTTCTGTTCAGATTATGCTGCGGCGGTCATGACTGAACCGATTTGATGCCCTGAAGGTAAGGCAAAAAAGGCTCCTCCTTCTTCCTCTGCCTTCCTTATGTGGGCCATGATACCCTCCTGTTTCTGTCCTCCAGGGTAGAGCCCCTGGATGTGAGGAAGGTTAAAGAAGGGCATTAGGCTGGGGGGGTGTCAGAGGTGCAAGGTGGTATCAGGACACTGAGGAAGGTGAGAGAGAGAAGAGCAGGGTGCTGAGGGTGTGGACAACAAGTGACGTCAGGATTGGGGTGCAGCCCAAGCTTTGGCCTGTTATCTCCCCCAGCTTATCACCCCTACGCAGTTGGGATTATATGTGGACTCTACTCCATCGGGTGGGGCTGGAGTGAGGGAGGGGCTGGGGGTAGAGGGAGGAGCCCCCAGGGCACGTGAGAAGAGAAGGCCCTTCAGGTGGGCAGGAGGCATGACAGAATATTGAGGTGTATATGTGTGTATTTTCCTTGAGTATAGGAATATGAAAAGGCCCTAAGGTACGTACGAGGGCTGCTGCAGACAGAACCCCAAAACAACCAGGCCAGGGAGCTGGAACATCTCATTGACAAGGCCATGAAGAAAGGTGAAACTTTCCTCTCTGCGCTTCTCCCTCTTGTCTGCTTCTACTCCACTCTGTTCCTCAGCCCCAGGTCCCTCTAAACTCTTTATGTTCAGACCTCCTTCCTCCCCCATGCCTGGGTCCTTCTGGCCTCTAAATGATCCCCCCTCCAAGAAATGCCTCCTCAGGACACCCCCATCACTCACCTTTTATCTCCAACCCTTGCAGACCCTCATCCCATGACTCAAGATAGGGAAGCCCATCTTTTCTAAGGAGAAGCTGATCACAAGGGTCCCTGAGGGGCAGGAACTGGGCCCCTGACACCTTCTCTCTTTTCCTTTACCCAGACGGACTGGTAGGCATGGCCATTGTTGGAGGCATGGCCCTGGGCGTGGCGGGACTAGCTGGACTCATCGGACTTGCTGTGTCCAAGTCCAAATCCTGAACACAACTGCACCTCCTCTTCTGCCCCGGGGAGCTCACAGGAGTCAAAGCAGCCTATGAGTTTGGGGGCTGGGCATGAAGGACCCTCAGAGAGGACGCGTCCTGACTGCCCCTTCTCTGTTCTTCTCTGGCACCTCTGTCACTGTCTGCTGTGGTCGTCAGCCTCCTCTCCCCTCAGACCTGCCCTTTAGCCCCAAATCATGTGCTTTGGGATGAGTGTAAATAAAATTGGGCTTTGGCTTGGGAAGCTCTGAGTGTGTATTGAGGGAGCGGCAGGTTGCATTGGGCATGAAGGGTGGGGAGCATCACATGTGGGTCTCTCCTGCTCCACAGTACCCACCAGCCACTCCTCAGAAGGAAGGTTGGGCGACCTACCTCTGTATACCACCTCAGAAACCCAAGGAGGGGTCGCTGAGTCGGATCCGACTCGATGGCAGTGCCTTGTGTTGTTTTTGTACCCTCCAGGCCTGGTGTTGGGTTCTCCTTTGTCTGCCAAACTAGCCAGACCCCACACCCTTCCTTCCTCCCCGTCCCCCCAAGCCATGACCTTGAGTGGTGGTGGTAAGCAGCACAGGGATGTGGGCCTTGCACAGCCCTGAGTTCTGGGAGTAAGCGGTGTCTGGAGGAGGGCCAGGCACAGCTTAAGGACAGGCTGGGTTTTCGGCATCCTGTCTCCTCTGGCCCACTCAGCTGCCTCTTGGTGTGTGGAGTTTTCCACACCAGGGGCCTCCCCACTCAGCTTCCTCCAATGCCCCCACCCTTTGTTTTCCTGCACCGTCCCCCCCACGCTGTCCTCGGGAAGGGGGGCCGCTGCCGGGAGGAAGGAAACTACCAACATGGAGTGGGGAGGAGTCTCAGAAGAGGTTAGGACCTTGGGACACCCCGACTGTGGCCTCCAGGATGGAAGGCCAGGACCCAGTCCCCACCCAGCCTGCTTCACCCCACACCCCCTTGTGCCAGGCTCAGCATGGGCCTGTTTGATTTCCCTGCATACCTCTCGTTCCACAGCCCAAACCAGCCCAGATGGGTGGGTGGGGAGTGAGGGGGGCACCTGAGAGGAGCCCAGGGTTGCCTGGCACCGGGAAGGGGAAAGTGGGGAGTTCACTTCCAGCCAGCAGTCTCCGGCTCGGCGATGCCTGGCTGTGGGACCAGCCCTTCAGCGCCTGAGCCCCGGCCCCGCTGTTAGGAGAGGGCTGCAGCTGTCCTGGCTCTGGCCTTGGGCTGCTCCTAGGGCCAGGAAAACACCAGTCGTACCAGGACAGGTGCTCAGCCCCGGCTCGGGGTGGGGACCCAGACGTTTCTAATCGGTCATAATTAATAGAGCCGGTGACAGTTGCTGATAACTCTGAGTTTATTAGGGAGATTAGCCATAGGATCATGGTCTGGGCCTTTGATTTGTCGGAGCCCCTTGGCAGCAAGATCAAGCTCCTTTCCGACAGTCAAAGACCAACTCATGGCGGGGGGAGAACTGGAGCTCGGGAAGGTTGAAGGAAAGCAGTGCCCTGCTGGCCTCACTCACGCCGGTGGCACCCAGACCCACTGGATCCAGCAGTTTGTACGTGCTGTGCTGGGGGCGCTGACCTGTGGTCACAATTCTCATGACAACCTGAGGTAAGTAGTAGTATCTGGTTCACAGAAGCAGGAACCAGCTCAAAGGGGTGACAAGTGTGCACCAAGTCACTTTGGTCGACAACAAGGAAGACTAGCCTGAATCCAGCTGGGTTAGACTCCAGCGCTCTGGGTTTCTCCTGCTCCCTTGGCCTTACTCAACCTACTCTTCCTTGGAGACGCAGATGTCTCCACCCCTAGGGTCTGAGTTTCTGGGCTTATTCTCCCCATGTGGAGGGGGTGGCTGTTCTGGTCACCTAGTGCTCCCTCACTCCTTCTCCATGGAAGGCTTCAGTCTGGGGAGGTACGGTGGGGACAGTGGTGAGTGACCTGCCTGTTTGTCTCTCTCCTGCCCCTGTCACCTCTCTCCTTGTCCTTCATACTCCAGTACTCCATTCTCAGGGGCCCCCAGTGAAAGTTGAATCAGAGACAGAAGCTTCCCCTTGGCTCGAAATGCCTCCCCTGGGGGCCCCTCCTTGGCTATATCCGTTAGTCACTCCCCAGTAAGTCCTCCCCCGCCACCCTTGTGGGGCGGGGAACCAAGGCGTCCCAAAGGCTAGGGGGAGGGAGTGGACTTTTGGCCCATTTATTCCCTCCATCTCCTAGTCAGCAGCTGCTGCGTGCACCAGGGGAAGCAGAGACCCAGAGAGGAGGGAGACGGAACACGGGAGACAGGCCTGAGGCCAAGGCCACTGCCAGACCTGCCCTTCCTTTCCCTCTTCCTCCCTAACCTGCCTTAGCCAAAGCCCTTCAAGTTCCCCTAGAGTTCAGCCCCTCCCCTGCTCTGGGGCCCTAGCCCCAGGCACCCCTCAGGGGCCTGCCACCCACCATGTCGATGGCTGTAGAGACCTTTGGCTTCTTCGTGGCAGTCCTGGGGCTGGTGATGCTGGGGGTGACCCTGCCATACAGCTACTGGCGAGTGTCCACCGTGCATGGGAATGTCATCACCACCAACACCATCTTCGAGAACCTCTGGCACAGCTGTGCTACCGACTCCCTTGGAGTCTACAACTGCTGGGAGTTCCCGTCCATGCTGGCCCTCTCTGGTACAGGGTTGAGAGCTTCGGGGAGAAGAGGGAGGTGGGGAGGTTGGAGGGAGAGATCCCAGGGGAGGGCGGGCACTGCCTGTGGCCAGGCCTCGGATGACCATAGGACCAGATGGACGCAGCTCAGAATACTGCCTCGGGGCCTGGGAATGTTGGGACAGCCCCTACTTGGAACAGGAGTGGAGACTTTGTCACACAAGGCCCCGTGCCCTAATGTGGCAGTCTATGTTAGTGATTACCAACGGGGCACTGGAGTAAGACTGCTGGGTTCAACTCCCTCCTGTCGTTTGCTACCTCTGCCTTGGACAAGTCATAAAAGGAGCTTCATTTTGCCCGTCGGTAAAGTTAAGAAACTCATAGTACCAGTTCAGAGAGGTGGTGAGAGTCCCATGAACTAAAACATGCAAAATGATGGCATGATGTTGGTGTACGTGTATATGCATACATAGACTCAAAAAATAGAGCGTTTTATTTTTGGGTGGGATAACTGGGGTTAGAGGGTGAGAAGGGGGCTCCACCTTGGACTCTTGGGGATCGAAACACTTGCAGTCTTGATAGCCTTCCAGGTTTTCACTGGCTGGGACGTTAGTCTTACTGCTTTATGCTGCGTTTTAAAGGGCGCTTTTAAGTCCTGCTTCTGGTGAAAGGGCGTCTTCCTGTGGGTCTGAGAGTCTGGTGTAGGGAAGTGCTCTGTGTGTATCCTGTTTGGGGTTCTCGGGGCAGTGTCCTTTCCAATGCTCTTGGAGGACTGGACAGCTCTTGACCCAGCACAGTTCTCTGCGGTGGCTATAGCATCCTCCTGCTTCCAGCTCGCCCCATATGACTAACCCACCCATCCCCACCACTTCCTCAGGGGAATGTGCCCTAACCCTGCTCCATGCTAGAGCCTGAGAGGAGATGGCCATGGACCCTCCCTGCCTCCCTCACTGAGTCCTCCCGGAGCCATTATGCTCTTCCAAGCACCAAACTATAGGTGCAGGGTTGATGGGTTTGGAGCAGGGCTTCATGAATTCTCTCCTAAAGAATTAGGGGGTCAGGTGGGTCTCTTGTGCCCTGCTGATGTCACAATCTAACAAGGCATCTGCCGTCATCTTCCTGTCACTGTAGTAGTGCCTGAAAGCAGGGGCTTCATACATTCACTTATTTCTTCAGTACTTACAAGGTACAAGGCAAGTACCCCCAAAAATTATATAGATAGATAGATGTGTGTGTGTGTGTGTGAGAGAGAGAGAGAGAGAGAGAGAGCTCGGGTGGTACAGTACCTGACATTTGACTGCTAACCAGAAGGCTAGAGGTTCAAACCCACCAACCACTCCTCAGAAGGAAGACTGGGCAATCTACTTCTGTAGTGATACTGCCTCAGAAACCCAAAGAAGGGTTGCTATGAGTAAGAGTCAACTCAGTGGCAATGAGTTTGGTTTTTTTATGTATAAAAATTATGGAGCTCTGGTGGCATAATGCCTAAGGCGTTTGACTGCTAATCAGAAGGTTGGCGGTTCAAACCCACAAGCACCCTGCAGAAGGAAGATTGGACAATCTGCTTCCATGAAGATTTACCACCTTGGAAACCCAAAGGGGGTTGCTGTGAGTTGGAATGGCAGTGAGTTTAGTTTGATATATAAATTGAGTATCATCTGTGCCAGAAACCCAAAGGGCTGGGTGGTCCAAAGGGATGTTGGAGATGGCCGGCTCTGCAACCCCAGCCATCCCCACCTCCCCTGCCCTCCAGCCACACCGTGAACTCAGGAGAACATCTGTGGTGTGAGGAGGAGACTTTGCTGTGAGCCCATCCACCCGAGAGCAGCTCCACTTGTAACTCCTACCCTTGGCCCAAGGGAGGACGTGGTGCACGTGGATGTGGTGCATGAGTAGGTTCAAAAGAGGGCTTAGTAGCGAGAGCAGAGTGCAGCTGCCCATCGCTGGAGTCATCCGGGTTGCGGGCGTTGTGTTAGACACTTCCACATCCGCCAGTTCGTTTAACGTTTGCAGCAGCTCTGCTGTTGGGACGCTGGGAAACTCCAAGCAGTTTGCTTGGAGTCACAGAGATGGTGGATGGGGGGCTGGAAGTCAGGCTCGGCTGTGGACACCCCATCCCCAGCCACAGTCCGTGGTCTTGCAGGCCTTCGAGGATCCTCTCCCCTTTGGCCACCATTGGCCAGAGCTACTTGGGAATCCAGACATGGTCTCTGACCCTAGTGGAGGTGGGTGGGTAGAGGTGGGTCAATGAGTGGGGAAGGGATATGGGGTAGGGAGAAGGCGGGAGCTCCGGAGGGAGTGGCTGGGAGTGAGAAAGTGCTCCCAGAGAACTTTGTCCCTGCTCCCTACCCCCCAACTCCCAGCCATTTCATGTCCTCCTGGCAGGGGCCCAGCCTTTCCCCTTGTGATGGCACTGCCCCACCTGGGGAAGGCAGTACAAGGTCCTTGGGAGTGCTTGGCAGTTACCAAGGGCGGGGGATGGGGGTGGGGGTCCAGAAGGAGCCAATGATTCCCTTCAGTTTTAAGAAGGGAAAACTGAGGTACTGAAAGACTCTGACCTAGACTGATTTGGATTGGTTGGTCCTGAGCTCAGGTATCCCACCTTCCCATTAGAAATGCCCTCTGCCCTCGGTCATGGGCCACCACTGCCCCCTCCTGGTTACTCTACGAAAAAACTCCGTTCAGTGTGTCCAGCACTGGGCTGGGGCACTAAGGGAGACCTGCAGAGGAATGAGGTGGGCAAAGGGTACATGGGTGCAATGTCGACAGAACAGTTTAGAGTAGTGGTTCTCAACGGAGACAGCATTGGCCCCCAGGGTCTGGATTGTTCATTGCCACAGCTGCTGGGGGTGGTTGGGTTGCTCCTGGCATCGAGAGGGCCGAGGCTGGGGCTGCTGCTCCCCATTCTACATGAATGGGACTCACTGGAGGACCCCCAGTGAGCACAAGGTTAGACCTCCAGCCTCGGGACTTTCCACATTCCACGTTGAACAGCGTGCAATGTCAGTAGGGTCAAGGTTGAGAAAGCCTTTAGGAGCAAGTAATTGAGACCCGAGGCTGTCAGAAGCTGCCTCTGTCGGGGGCGGGAGGGGGTGGGGGGGCTGGGGGCCGGCGCAGGGAACTGACAGCTGTGCCCACCCCCCAGGGTATATCCAGGCCTGCCGGGCACTCATGATCACCGCCATTCTCCTGGGCTCCCTGGGCCTGTTCCTGGCCATAGGGGGGCTACGCTGCACGAACCTGGGGGGCCTGGTGCTCTCCAAGAAAGCCAAGCTGGCTGCTGCCGCAGGAGCCCTGCACATACTCAGTGGTAATGGGGAAGGGTTCTGGGCGGGCCCTGGGACTGCAGTGGGGACTGGGAGTCACCCTCGTCAGCCGACTCTGGGTTCTCTGTCTTTGGCTCTCTACTCCTGGGGGAATATCTTTGCTAGCATTCGCATCATCCTCTGTGTTGACACCAGCCCTCCCACATTCAGCTCTTCCCCGCTCCCTGCTTACCCCACCTTCACACATGCTTACCAAACCTGGGCTATAAGCAGTCCGTCAGCTCCTATGAGCCAGGCATGAGCCAGGGAAGGGAGACACTTCAAAGACAAGTTCTGTTCTTCAGAACTTGGTCTGGCCAGAAGACCAGCGGTAAGATGGGTGTGCACGCACGCACATGCGTTCTGTGCAATGACAGTACCTTCTCACTGACCACCACTGTTCACTTTGCAAAATGTTTGTGTGCATGTCATCTCACAAGCCTGTGTGGTAAGGTGGTAAGGTGTTGTTGTTGTTATGTGCCGTCGAGTCGGACCCGACTCATAGCAACCCCTCCTTGGGTTTCCGAGGCAGTATCACTACAGAAGTAGATTGCCCAACCTTCCTTCCGAGGAGTGGCTGGTGGGTTTGAACCGCCAGCCTTCTGGTTAGCAGTCAAGTGCCTTAGGCACTATGCTACCAGAGCTCCTAGGTGGGAAGGTAGGGGCCCATTTTCCAGATGTGGAAATAGGTTCAAGAAAGCCAGGTGTTTCACGGAAGGACCCCCAGTGAGCACAAGGCTAGGCCTCCAGCCCAGGGACGTTCAGCCACTCACTGAACTGAGTGGCTAAGGCTCAAGGGCTCTGGGAGCCCAAAGGAAAAGGAAGTTGGGACAGGCAGGGCTGGTTGGGGAGGAGTTTTTGGAGCAGCTGAGCTTTCAAGGATGGGTAGGAATTGGATGGGGGCACATTCCAAGCAGGGCTGGGCCAAAGAGGGAGTAAGGGGATGAGGCTCTGAGTGGTGGGAGATGAACCAAGAAAGGGCTGGAGTTGGGGTGCTGAATTGAGTTTAAAGTTGACCCTAAGAAATACGAAAACAGTTTATAAGCTAGGGCAAGGAAAAGAAAGGAATTCACTGAAACTGTTGCTTTTGAACTTGATGCCCACATCCTACTCTCTGGGGTGCCCCCTGCCTGCCCCTTCCCAAGTTCCCTTGTGCTGCAGGAGCCGCAGGGGGGCGCTAGTGTGGTCCTCCTCCTGCCTCCCCCAGGTATCTGTGGGATGGTGGCCATCTCCTGGTACGCCTTCAACATCACCCGTGACTTCTTTGACCCCATGTACCCTGGAACCAAGTGAGTGTGGAACCCACCCTTGGGGCAATGGGTGGGACTCAGCCCTGTCCCCCAAACTGCTGTCGTGTCCTCCCGCCCCGTGCTCCTGACCTCTCGCTCTCCCCTCTGTTCCCAGGTATGAGCTGGGCCCTGCCCTCTACCTGGGCTGGAGTGCCTCCCTGCTCTGCATCTTGGGTGGCACCTGCCTCTGCTCAAGCTGCTGTTGTCCTCCTGAGGATGACTCCGCCACCAGGTGAGGAAGGGGAGCATGCGAGGGGGTGGGTGGGAGATGGGGAGCAGCAGAGGGGAGTGGGCAGAACCACAGCCTTGCTTCTGACCCAGCCCCTTCCCGGACAGTGCTCGGCTGCCCTACAAGGTCTCCGGGTCCGTGTTGCAGTCCCCAAGCCTCGCTACCCGCTTGCCCCACGTGGCCTCTGATGAAGATGACACCAGCTTTGAGCAGTATGGGAAAAATGCCTATGTGTAAGCGGCCCCTTCCCACTGCCCCCAGAGGAGAGTGTGGTCCCTGGGACCCCTGGGATAACTTCGGGGGGCCAGCCATGTTCCAGAGGCTGCCCGCTGCTTGGACTTGTCCGGGCACTGCTCTGGTGCCCCCCAACTCAGCAGCTAAGAACTCGCCTCTTGAGAACTCATGTGGACTTCTGAAGCTGAACCCCTCTTTATCTGCTGAGTCTGGGTATCCCCGACTGTCTGTTTTCTGTATGAACACACGCATAAGTAAATTTATACTGTGAACCGGCCAGGGCTTAAGGATGTCAAAAAGCAGCTGGCCAAGTTGGGGGAGGGGATGCCAGGGGTCATCTTAGAGAGTGACCCCAAACTGTCACCCTCTTCGCTGCCTTTGGGTGCTCTCAACCAGCAAGAGGTGGGATTGTAAGTGATTTCAAGAGTGTGGCACATAAGGACTGGAACAGTCACAAAGGGCAGAGCGGGAAGGGCCATCTTGAGGAAACAGAAAATAGCGGGTGGCCCGTCTGGTCAGCTTCAGATCCCCAGTGGTGGCTTTCGCTCCCCCGCCTGTTTCCTCACAGCTGTACAAAGAGATGAATGGTGGGAGTAATTTCTTAACCTGGGTCCGAAGGCTGGTATCAGGAATTCACAAGCCCTTTGAATTTGTGCTTCAAATTAACTGGGTCAGGGGATGGTCCAGCGACTCCCAGATTCTGAATGAGAGCCATAGTCTAAAAAGGTCCTGAAGGTCTGTGTTCACAGAGGCTGGCTGTCAGAGACGGTGCGGGGATACGGGCAGACTTGACACAGGCCCAGGGGGTACTGGCTAGGGCTGGAACCTCTTTGAAGGAAAATGAGGCCACTAGAAATGAACCCTCAAATAGAAGAAGGGAAAAGGACGCCCTCCACGGACCTAGGTTCTCACTGTGCCACAGGGCTCTGTCCTCAGCCCCTCCCCTTCGTCTTTAACTGCGTCCTCTCACCTGCACTGCCTCTCTCCCGGGATGGGCATTGTAACTGGGCCCTGAGCTTCAGAAGTGCCACCTGCCCCGGGGATGGTTTCACCAGCTGGGCTCAGAAACAGGAATGTCATCACTTTCCCCCAATGCCACATACCTGTCATTCCCCTTAACAGCTTCCAAACCTCCCCATCATCTCTGCTTCTCCCGTCACCCCACCTCCACCACCTGCCCTGCTCGGTTGGTTGCCAAATCCTATGATTCCTCCTCTGGAGTATGTTTCCCACGTATTGAGTTCTCTCCCTTCTGCGTGCTGGCCCTGGGTCAGGCCCTCATCCCTTCCTGCCTGGACCCATTACCGGAATCCCTTCACTGAAGTGCCCACCCTGTCTTTTCAACCCCTTCCATATTCCTCTGCCAGGATCACTCCCACCTTGGTAGCTGCCCACTGCCTCTGAAAAAGAGTCCAATCGGATAGATAGGTGGACAGGCTAAATAATTAGGTATGTCTAAATGGGGAGTGTATCCAAGATCATATATAGGGTTGGCAGACAATGGTCCTATAAGTTTATGTGAATGATAAGAATTCCCAGGTGTATAGTAGAGCTGACAAGGGGCAAGGTTATGGTCATTGCTTGGTCACAGCCAGCAACCCAGAGCGACCGAGTAGTTGATCCTGTGGTCTTGGGACCATAGTCGCAGGGGACATCAAGCTCAATTGGCATAACATACTATACAAAACATTGTTCCACCTCCTACTTTGGCGAGTAGCGACTGGGATCTTAAAAGCTAGCAAGCTGCCATCTAGATGCAACAATGGGTCTCTCCTCGTCAAGAAGAAAGAAGAAAACCAAAATTAATGGAAACAATCAGTCCTAGCGACTGGTACACCATCCGATCTGCAACCTATACAACTATGAGACCAGAAGATCTAGATGGTGCCCGGCTACCACTGTCATCCACTTGGAAGGGATGTAGGAGATCCTGCATAGAGAGGGAGAACAATGTGGAACAAAAATCATTTGGAGGCAAAAAAAAAAGAAGGTGGGGACCAGGTTTGCTGGTCCAATAGAGCCTGGTGGAACCACTGAGACTATGGCCCCTAGCTGCCCTTCAGGTCTGGAATTGAACCCACACCTGTGGTTTCCAGCCAAACAAAGTACAGGCATGTGAGTTAAACATTTACCTCAAGTAGACACACACCCTGGAGAAAACAATCATGGGAGAAGGAAGGGCTGCTTATGCACAGGGAGACAGCTCAGGGCGCAGAAGAATATGGAGGGATGGACACTGGGAAGAGGTAACTATGGGGAGGAAGTGGGAGGGGAGCTGTTGCATTGTAAATTTTGGTCAATGACATGAGACAAAGTATATGTGAACTGCTGTATGAAAAGTGAATTTACTCTGTAAATCTTCACCCAAATCAAAATTTTAAAAAAAAGTCCAAGATAGCTAAGACCTGGCAAACTCCCTGCTCCTAGCCCACCTGTCTACCCAGGTGACCCGAGCCCAGCAGACTGGACTACTCACAAGGCCTCCAACGTTCACACACGGGCTTCCTTCCCTACTCCACCCAGGGACACTATTGCTTTCTGAGCTGCTCCCAACATAAAGCATTCCATGGCCAATTGAGTCTGGGGAAATCTGCATGTCCTACCAACTTCCACACTCTGCTTCTGTTGTTTGAGATGTCCCACTGGCCAAAGGCGATCACATGGCCAAGTCCAGAGTCAACGTGGAAGAAACTGCACAGGAACTCAACACACTGGGATATGTTTCCTCCTGTAACAATGTACCACAAGAAAAGAACTAGGCCATGAGATGTCCTTTGTCAGAAGATGAGAGTAGATTTCTCAAAGAGGAGATAGACACTTTCAACACTGTCTTCTGATGCTGAAAGGCCATGAAATCTCGGCAGGGAGACATGTGGCCCTACCACGGAGGACAAAAGCCAATTACAAGGCGTGCCATCCATGCTGCCTAAGAAGCTGTCCGAAGAGTCAGTGATTGTATTATGCTTACTGATTCTGTGGATCAGGAATGCAGACAGGGCCACCACAGATGTGATGTCTCTGAGCCACGTTGTTTTGAGGTTTCACTTTGAGAAAGCTTAAGTGGCTGAGGGTGACTCAATGGCTGGGGACTGGAATCATCTAGAGGCATCTTCACTCACATGACTGAAGCCTGGGCTGGGATAACCTGATGGCTCAGCTCAGCTGAGGCTATCAGTGGGAACACCTACAAACGGCCTCTCCATGTCAACTCGGCTTCCTCACAGCATGGTGGCTTCAGGATAGTTGGATTTCCTACCTGGTGGTCCAGGGATCCAAAGGCAAGTGTCTCAGAAGCAAGGCACTGGCCACCCATCAGTTATCCTTGAATGACACATAGCATCACTTCTGACACTGTCTACTAGTTGAATCAGTCAGGGTTTTAGGGAAGAGAACAAAGATCCCCCTTTTGATGGAAGGAGAGACAAAGAATGTACTGCCATTTTTAAAAACCACCACATCCAGATCATCTCTAAACCCTGTTCTCGCCACCATCAAACATGGACCTGTTACCAACACCATTTACCCAACCCTAAGTCTTCAGAGAAGGGGTGTTAGGCTGGGTTCTCTAGAGAAACCAAACCAGTAAAGCTTATATATGTGTATATAGATAGAAATTTTATCTTAGGAAAATGGCTCACACACTTATAGAAGCTGGCAAGTCCAAAGTTCCTGGATCAAACTTCAAGCTGGAGGCTTTTCCTGACTCTTGCAACCACAGGGGCTGAGGAGCTCAAGGCTGGCAGGCAGTACACTGGCTGTTGACTCCAATGAATGACGAATCCAAGATCTCCAGGCCGAATGGTGGACTGTTCACTCACGGATAGTTGTAGGCAGCACAACAGAATCCCAATCCACAGAACAGTGTCTCTTTTCCCAGGATGTCCATAGATATACTGGAAGCAGGCCACACCCCTAGGGAAACTCCCTTTCAACAGAGTTTCAACAACTCAACAGATTGGCTGCTCAAAACATCTGATCCCATCATGGGAATAACCACATCACAACAGCTTCAACCACACAATTGTGGTCCAGCCAAGTTGACACACAGCTCCAACTATCACAAGGGGAAAGCAGCTCCTCAGGAAAACACTGGAACATCTGCACCAACCCTCAAGACAGCGCCCAAAAATGGAGAGAAGTCTAAGCAGGTGCCTAACACTGGCTTTTCTGGGTCCCATTACCATCTTATTAAGACCATTCATTGAACAAATACTGAGACCTGCTTTGCTATGTGCTCAACAGGTTTAATACAGCAATTTCCAAGAGCTTACAGCTTATGGTAGATTTAGACACCAGATGTGGATGTTAGAAGCACTATTTATTACCACACAAGAGTTACACAGCACCAAGGCCAAGACAGGAGTCTCTACCCCAGGAACTCTCCATGGTTTCTAGACATCTGTTTTCTGTGCTGCAAATAATTTCACATACATCAGTCCTTGATAACAGGAGCTTCCTTAGGACAACTCCCCCCTCAGACTGGTGGCACCAAGGACAAGGGTCCAATCCTTTCCATTCACTTAAGTACCAGACAAAAAAGGCAGTATGATTCTGCACACTTCTTCCTCAGCCCTTCCTCCACTTCCCCGCTGCCCAGTGCTGAAACCGAGCTGTACTTTGAAGATACTCACAGGAACTAGAGAAACGGAAAGCAAAAGGAGAAGACCAAAATGGATAATGATAATAAGGGCATAAAGAAGCCATGAAAGGCAGAGACCTGGAAGTGGCCGGAGAATGGGACACGGGCGAGATGAGAGGAGAACGAATGGCAGGCAGGAGGAAAAGGGACAGCAGAGAACAGGTGAGCCAGGTGACCCATCACTCTTAGCCCCAAAATACCACCAAACAAACAGGCAAGCTCCCCCTTACACTACACCTTTTAATACTCCAGCTCTGAGGGCTTAGCCCACTTCCCTGCCCAATAGTCCCTGGGAACAAGCCTGATCTCCCCTGCCAGGCAAGACTCAAGTTTTGCTGGGTGAGTGAACGGCTCCTCTCTTGGT